CCGTGTTGTGATCTCGGCGTCCTAGAATTGTCGCTCGGCGGCCGGAGCGGCGTCGGCGACCGTCAAACAGGCCGCGGCCGGATCAGATGGCCCTTCACCGTCACCGGCGCCGGCTGACAGCTGACGGCTGACGGCTGTCGGCGCCCGTGGCGGTGGATCAGAGACACCGGTGCCGGCACGTGCAGCCGGCCGACCGGGTCAGACCGGGTCAGACCGGGTCAGATCAGGTCAGACCAGGTCAGAATGGGTCAGACTGGGTCAGATCGGCCGGCCTGACCGATCGCAGCCCCCGTCAAGTCACTTTCGCAGCCGGTCCTGCCCGCCAGCGTGCGCGCTCCGTACACAGCAGTCAGGGCAGCTGCTCACCGGCGGCGGATAATTAAAATGAAGCGTGGTTAACGTAATCCTGTCCAGAAGACCTCGCCGTGTAGGGTTCTCTTAAAAGATTGCTGGGTTAGCTCGATGCATCAACTCTTCAAAATCTTGTACGGTCCGTCGCTTTTTCACACGCATTGTGTGGGATGGCAGTGTATGTCGTTCTTTGATAGCAGCTAAACCAAGCACTGAATGTTTTTGTTCCGTTGGCCGATGTCTCTTCTCACTGTAGCCTTTGTAATGACCCTTGGAAAACACTTACCATATCCGTTTTCACCCCTTCTCCCGTGTTTAATCTTTTACAATCTATCCAGGGCATTCTTAAGCACCCTTTCAGCCCTCGATACACATAAAACAAGGCTGCGGATCGCCGTGTCTCGACATTGTATCGCCGCCCGACACCTGCCGCCTCTCCATTGAGGGGGCGGCTGCGGCGGGCCCCTCGACGCCCCTCCGCCGCTCTCTGCGCGCTCCTCGCGCTCGTCATTAGCCCTGTCCTCGGCCGTGGGGCGCCTTTGTGCGGGCCCGCGACACTGTAATCTTCCGAATCGGCGCCCTGTCCGACCTACGATCGGCAGCCCTTGCCCGCGGTCGCCCCCGCCGCGCTCCATTGTCGGCCGCCGACGGTCTGTTTGCGTTGGCCTTTTTTCTCGTGCCTGCTCGACGGCGGGACGGCGGGCGGCGGGGCGCGGGCCAGGCCGGGCCAGGCCGGGCCGGGCCGGACCGGGCCGGGCCGCGGTCGTTCGTAATGGACGGCTGAGTGGCCGCCGCCGGAGGGCGAGCCGGCCGGGGCCCGGGCGTGTGCCGGTCCCGGCTCCCACGCCCGCCGGCAGCCGCTGAAGGAGAGCGGCCCGGCCGGGCAGACGCGGCGGCGCCGGTGTCCGAGGGAGCAGCGCCGACACGGATGGAGGGGAACGGGTGAGCCGCGCCCGCCGCCGCCCCGCTGACTGACGCGGACCCACACTGGCTCGGGGCAGTCCGGCGGGGTCAGCAGTGGGACTTGGTAGCCTGGCCGGGGAAACCAAACCTGGCGAGGTCATCGACCTGACCGGGGCAGCCGCTGCTGCTCTGGTCACCCGCGCCGTCCCCTGAGCTGTCACTGTCCTGGTCGGAACCCCCGACCCCTGGCCGGCTCTTCTGACTCTGCTAGCTGTCCTCTGCCATCGTTTCTCGACAGTCAGTCGCGCTCTACCGTCCCAGTGGCAACAGAGCGTGTTGTGATGCCGGTAGGTGCTATACGTCAGACATAGCACGGGGCCGACGAAACCTGGGCTGTAAACCGAGAGGAGGCCAATACCAGTCCCGTTTGGCCGCTGCAATGCCCGTGCCAGGTAGTAACGCGCCGCGTATGTGGTGTCGAGACTTATCGCGTCTCATTCCCGCCTGCCGAGAGTTCTCTTTTTCGAGGAACATTGCGCGGCAGGCTCACATGGCTTCTTGGATACTGTCTTTAAGCAGGGGTGATTTGGCCTACTAAGTAGGCGATCTATCTCCTACCGGTGACGGGAGCTGTCAGCTCGTCACTTCTACAATGCCACTGTGAATCCGGGAGCTGGGAAGCTTTCTGATTACATCACAGGCGGGGTGTATGACTGACGTGGGGGGGGGGGGGGGCGTCCCGGGTGAGGGTGTCCCGCTGGCCGAGCTGCGTCGTTTGACTCCTTTTTCATTGTTTCGTCTTTACGACTTCGAAATGGAAGATACTCTGGCGGGGCAGCCGGCTCTCATGTGCCGTTCTGTCTCCGTGCTCATCCCCGCTCTGGATTTTCCGCTGGAAAAGCCGGCTCTCATGCGCCGTTCTGTCTCCGCGCGCTTACCCTCGCTCTGAAGATGATCCAGTACTGCTGATCGGCCGGCTTTGCAGCACTGCACACTGGTGTCGCGACGTGTACCGGCCTCCCCGCTGTGTGTCGTTCTGCTGCCCCTCCGTCCGACTCCCTCCCACCACCGCTGCCCATCCGCCGTGGCCCCGCCACCACACAGTCCGTCGTGACCGCCAGCGGGCCCAGGTGTGTCGGCCGGCGGTGGACGCCCCCTCCCCTCCCCCTCCTCATAGGCCGTCATCACGACACGCCCTGCATTGAAGCCCATTTAGATAGATGGTGCGATAGGTGGGCAGTATTTACACGCGGCATTGTCACGTAATGACGCGGGCCGAGCGGGCGGCGGCCCGACTTCCGAGAGGCAAGTCATCCCGTCGCAGGCGCCCGGGCTGGCGCCGGCTGCTCCCTGACGGCTGTACAGTACCAGACCGTCGCAGGCGCCCGGGCTGGCGCCGGCTGCTCCCCGACGGCTGTACAGTACCAGACCGTCGCAGGCGCCCGGGCTGGCGCCGGCTGCTCCCCAACGGCTGTACAGTACGGGACCGTCGCAGGCGCTCAAGCTGGCGTCGGCTGCTGCCCGACGGCTGTACAATGACGGATCGTCGTAGGCGCCCGAGCTGGCGCCGGCTGCCGCCTGACGACTGTACAGTACCGGGCCGTTGTAGGCGCCCGAGTTGGCGCCGGCCGCCGCCCGACGGCCGTACAACAACGGATCGACAGCCGGCACCCGAGTTGGACGTCGGCTGCTGCCCGACGGCTGTACAATGACGGCCCGCCAATGACGGCTATGACTGCTGACTACGCGCGACGTGACTCCTCGCGCCGTGACTCCGCGTCGTGACTCCTCGCCGTGACTCTGCGTCTTGATTAATGGTGGTGGCCGGGTTATCTAGATGTTTGGCTCCACCCTCGTGCCTAACCTTCTGATCCACGGAAGCCCGCCACGCTACTCCGGCCATCATTGTTGTTGGTTGTTCGGGGTCATGTTCGTGTCCGACATACCGCTTCACAGAAGCCCACCACACGATTCCACGGACTTTTTGGTGATTTCCCGACATGGTTCAGCGCATACCTGAGTCGCTGTCGTGCCTCTGGTGCCGGCTGTGCGGGCGGAGCGGCGCACGCGCTGACTTGTGTTCCCCAGTACTCGTCCGTGCGCAGCGGCCGCGTCTGGTCCAGCGCGCCGCCGCCGCGGTCTGCCGCTGGTCCGGTCTGTCGCCGCCGCGGTCTACCACTGGTCCGGTCTGCCGCTGGTCCGGTCTGCCGCTGGTCCGGTCTGCCGCTGGTCCGGTCTGTCGCCGCCGCGGTCTACCGCTGGTCCGGTCTGTCGCTGGCCCTGTCTGCCGCTGGTCCGGTCTACCGCTGGTCCGGTCTGCCGCTGGTCCGGTCTGTCGCTGGTCCGGCCTGTCGTCGCCGCGGTCTGCGTTGGTCCGGTCTGTCGCTGGCCCTGTCTGCCGCTGGTCCGGTCTGCCGCCGGTCCGGTCTGTCGCTGGTCCTGTCTGCCGGTGGTTCGTTCAGTGCCGGCGTGTCGACGGCGGTCCGCGGCCTGGTGACGCTTTTTATGAGCCCAGCTTGAGGCCGGTTAGAACAGTGCCCTCCCTCGCTGCCGGCCCGGTCTGAGACGGCACATGTCAGTCGGTCAGAGGCGCGGTCTGGGACGGCGCACGTCAGTCGGTGAGAGGGCGCCGTCTTTCCAGCGGAAGGACACTGTCCCTTGAACGCATCATACTGTGTGAGGTACTCATCTGTCCCCCCCAGAGTAGATGGGGCCTAAAGCGCTGCCTGCATACGCTGCTCAGTCCCAGGCATACAGGATTTCAGGCGCTGCTCAGTCCCGGATGCATAGTGGTCCAAGCGCTGTTCAGTCCCAGGCATATCGTGGTGTAGGCGCTGTTCAGACCCGGATGCATAGTGGTCCAAGCGCTGTTCAGTCCCGGATGCATAGTGGTCCAAGCGCTGTTCAATCGCGTGTTTATAGTGATGCAGGCGCTGTTGAGTCGCGGGTTTATAGTGATGCAAGCGCTGCCCAGTCCTGGGCATACAGTGCTGCAGGCGCTGCTCAGCCCCGAACGTCGGTCCGTGCCGCTCACTGTCCAAGCCTGGGGTTGCGATGGTGTCCAGGGTCGCCGTGGCCTGGACACAATTAGCAGCCGGTCGATAATGGTACCTCAGATGCCCGCCCTTGACAGCCGGAACAATTACCGCACTCGAATTGTCCATAAAATAGGCCGCCTCGTAGTCATCCAAGGTCCTGGGTGGTTCGTAAGGGCACAGGCAAGTTCGGAATATCTAACGCAGCGCGGAATGTTTGGTGCTTGATGATGAGGAAATTGTAAGCGATTGAGTCATGCGGATGACCTTTTATACAAGGTTATGAGCGTGGCTTATTTGCTCAAAGCCAATGGGCGTGAGCAATGAGCGTTCATCGCGATTCATGCAACACGACACGTTCCTGATGGAGATGCACGAGTGTGGACAATACATGCATTGTTATTATACGGCTGTCTTGCTGACGTTGGCATCAGATCATGTCGTAGTTTATTGAAAAAGTGAAATCCTAGCTCGCTGCATTTTTGGAGGCGTATATTTTTGTATCTATCATCACTGTCGTGCATTTGGGTGGACTTAGAATAATATTTGATGCGATCAAAAAGCTGACAAAGGTGGAACACGCGCATGCATGCTCTGCCAGGTCATGCGGCTGTTTCTCATATGAGGCCACCCCGGCTTCAGTACTGTCAGATATGCGGCGAAAGTGCTACAGACGTCCGGCTGATCACCCCCCGCCTGCCGTGTCCACAGACCTGAAGAAGGCGTTCCACACGCCGCCGTTCGCCGACGCCGTGGAGGTGGACGAGACGGTGGAGCTGCGCTGCGTGCCGCCGGCCGGCGACCCGCCGCCCACCGTCAGCTGGCTCAAGAACCGCGTGCCCGTCGACCCCAAGCTGGACCCCAACTACATCATCTCGAACGAGGGCAACCTGCTGATCGCGGCCGCTAAGCTGTCCGACATGGCCAACTACTCGTGCGTGGCCGAGAACGTGGCCAACCGCCGGGTCAGCCCTCCGGCGCGGGTCACCGTCTACGGTGAGTGACAGCGGCGGCGGCGCGCGCAGGAGGAGCGGTGCTGCTCAGGCCGTCCCCGGGACGTGACCTGGGAGCGGTGTAAGCTGCACGATCCGCTGTACCTCTGTGCATGTTGCGGATAGGCGCGACCCACTCTGTGTGCCGTACACTAATCGACCCGATTTCGCGTTTTCGAACCAGAGGTGTCCTTCCGCATGCCTCCTCTCTTTCCGCAGCCTATCGTTTTGGGGCCGCGCTTAACAGCGCTGATCTGGGTTGATCGTTGAACACCTTACATTGCTTGTTTGATGTCGCTCGTCCGTTTGATCCCCTCCGTAATGTCCGATGTGACGTCATCTCGTGATCCCGCTCAGGCGCCCTGCGATGTGGAGTCGTCTCCGCTCGCAACCGGTGCGCGCTCGGAGACCGATGCCGGTGTGCTCGGACCGCTGCCGGTGTGCTTGGACCGATGCCGGTGTACTCGAACCGGTGCCGGTGCGTTTGCACCGATGCCGGCGCACTCACACCGATGTCGGTGTTCTTGGACCGACGCCGGTGCGTTTGCACCGATGCGCTCGGACCGATGCCGGTGTGCTCGGACCGATGTCGGTGTGCTCGGACCGATGCCGGCGCGCTCGCACCAATGCCGGCGTGCTCGCACCGGTGCCGGTGTGCTCGGACCGATGCCGGTGCGTTTGCACCGATGCCGGTGTGTTCGCACCGATGTCAGTGCACTCGGACCGATACCGGTGCGCTCGGATCGCTGCCGGTGCGCTCGGACCGATGCCGCGGTCTGATGGGACCAGCTGCCGTCATCAATGGGAGACCTACTCAAAGGCACCAACTCGTTTGCATGAACTTCGTGTTCTATTGCGGTGGCGAGAAGACCGCCTTTCACGGTGGAAATTGCTTCCGGGCGCGCCATTGCGACAACTTCAGACTCGGCGACGTGGTGAACCCGAAAACATGAAACGAAAGCCTTAAGTCCACTCAAAATCAACCACTGGCCTTTCGTATGAAACCGACATTTTTAAAGTATGTCTTTGCTGATCAGGATATCTGAGGGCTGGTCGTTCTCCTGTAGTTCCCCTGAGTGCTGGTCGTTCTCCCTCCGAGCTAAGGCAGGATCGGTGGAGCCTGCACCGAGGGAGTGTCCCATTGAACAACAGGCACCCCCAAACGCATTCCGGATGCAGTTGCAGGCGTGGCAGCCGGCGGCGCACGCACTCCGCGCTGTGCCGACGGCCGGGTGGGTGTAATCGCCGGCCATCGCCGTAATAACTGTCACGTGGTCCGAGTAATGCCAATTGCCGTCGGCAGGGGCGGCTTCAGCTGCCGCCAGTCCGGCAGTTCAGACTGCTACACTAGTTTAGTCTACCAAGCTGAAAATACGTACATGGGACGCGATGTAAACTCTGCAAACCTTGGATGAATAACGTTTTGGGGAAGTCGTCTGCCCCGAGCAGAGTCGATCCCCGACGTACGGGGGTGCTGGGTCTGCCGCTGCCGCTGCAAGGCACGTCACGGGGATGTAGGCTAGCTGCGTGGGGTCCGTCTGGTGCTCACCGGGCTGTGTGGGGCCCGTCTGGTGCTCACCAGGCTGTGTGGGACCCGTTTAGTCCTCACCAGGCCGTATGGGATCCGTCTGGTGTTCACCAGGCTGTGTGGGACCCGTCTGGTGCTCACCAGGCTGTGTAGGACCCGTCTGGTGTTTACCAGGCTGTGTTGGGCCCGTCTGGTGCTTACTAGGCTGCGTGGGACCTGCCTGGTGCTTACCAGGCTGTATAGGACCCGTCTGGTGCTCACCAGGCTGTGTGGGACCCGTCTGGTGCTCACCAGGCTGTGTGGGACCCGTCTGGTGCTCACCAGGCTATATGGGACCCGTCTAGTGCTCACCAGGCTGTGTGTGGCCTGTCTGGTGCTCACCAGGCTGTGTGGGGCCCTTCTGCTACTCACCAGGCTGTGTGAGACCCTGATGAGCCGAGCCGGCCTGCGTGCCGCGGCCACAGCGGCACTGACTAACGCGAGCGGACGCTGACAGGGGCCGAGACCCGTACCTCGTGCCTCGCACGCGGCCGGCTTTGCACAGATGCATGTGAGCTGGTCATGAGGGCCGGCGGGCGTTTGATGTGGAGCGGGGTCTGGTGGGACAGAGCCATTGTTGGTAATTGTTGAGAATGTGAAGCTTCGTTTCTGTTCCGCCCCATTTACAAGACAGAAACCATCCTGCACCGGACACGAGCAGCTGCCGCGGGAAGCGGCGGCTGCTCTCGCCATGTGCGTGCTGTTAACAGACGGCCGCGCCCTGTCGGCAGTGAACGGCGGCTGGTCGGGGTGGGGCGCCTGGTCCGGCTGCCAGCCGCCGTGCGGCGCCGGCCGCCGCCAGCGGCACGAGGAGCTGCGACAGCCCCCGGCCGATGAACGGGGGCCGCCAGTGTCGCGGACCGGCGCAGCAGGCGGCCGACTGCAGCTCCCTCTGTCCGCGTGAGTCGCTGGGCCCGGCCCGGCTGCTGTCGGCCATCACGACTAGCGGCAACGTTTTGCCGCTAACCCTCCGGCCGCAGAATACTTATACCATGGGCCTCATGCGCTTACGGAATTGTTTGGGGGACATGCTACAGCGCTCATTCCGAGCGCCTTGGGCTGGGTGGGCTCCAAGGGCGCATAAGGGTTAAAGAGGGAGCAGTAAGCGAGTGTTTTACCGACGCACACACGTATCTGAGTGTAACGTCTGGGGACTTTCGCGGAAATTATGTGACCTAAGCGCGTTTGTATCCATTGGATCGTCGCGCTGCGCCCAGAAGGGTCTGTAACTTCAGTATGGACTGCTGCGTATGACCAGGAGACCCTTCCTGACGACAATTCGGGCCAGCGCACCAAGCGGAAAACGATCCGCATGCACGCACATATTTGTGCTTGGTTATTGGAAGGAAATGATCCATATTATACCTTTTGATCGTCATTGTGTGTCATCAACCTCTTATAAATAGCACCTTACAAAATATTGTCATTCAAGGAACAGCTTGCATTGCGGACGCAAGCAGCTTTGATTCATTTTGATTCCGTGGCCGTCGGTGACTAACAGATTTATCGTGCATCTTCGGAAGAAAACGAAGTGAACCGTATGCACCACGGCGAGATACGTATTCATCCGCCATTGTGGTTTTTCAGACGTCGATCAAATGCCAGCGATTACCATGCGTAGTTTGCAGTGGTGCTCGTTCTTGCCAAGCCCCTCCGTTCCCCCCCCCCCCCCCCCAAAAGAAAGCAACCCCACGACCGTCTGGCTACAAAAAAGCTATGACTGATCGGTCCCTGGCTACGTATTTCCCCCATACGTAGTTTTTCTTCGGGGCCGCCGATTGGCCGCGGCGTGACGTCATCGTGGTCTACCGCCAGCCGTGGACGGCGGGTGGTCGGCGTTCGGCGATTGGTCGGCATGTGACGTCACGTGTCGTCAGAGCCGGCAGCGAGCGTGCTCGGCCCCGGTGCCGGCCCATGGGGGTGTACCCTGCTCGGGCGCCGACCGGCAGCACCGCAACTGCTCCAGGGCCGACTGCGAAGGTCAGTCACAAGCTGTCATGGCACGGCCCTGGTGCGTGCACAGCAGCACTGCTCTTTATTGTGGCACTAGCTTTCATAGGCACGACGCAAGGAGTCTACGGCTCACTTTGCGAGGCTGCTGTGATAATGTTAGGGCAATTACAACTGGTTGTTTTAGGGGTGCCATTGTCTGCAGCCTCATACACACAATGGCCTCCCTATTTGTACAGGTCGTAATATTGTCTGCAGGCAGTAACACAACGCTAGTGTTATTTAGTTGCGAAATGTTGGTACCATCTGCTTGGAATCGCGCCTTCCAGTCAGCAGCGTGCCACAAAGGTTTTATGGGACATCCCATAGTTCGTAGATGTCCTTGAAATACCAATCAAAAGCGTGCTGGTACGTCTAGAATTGTTCACCGCCTCATTACGGATGCCAACACGATAGCTCCAATCCATTACCGACGGCTCCGTCACAACTGTTGCTGCTGTCCTGGCCTCTCCTTGTGCCGGCCCTGACCCAGACCTGACCCGGGGGTCGCCGGTCGGGGCTGTCTGTCGTGCCCTGCCCGTCTGTGCGACAGCTGTGCTGAGGGCGCGTGCCGTCCGTTTCAGAGGTGCGAGCCGCGCTGCTGGACCGCTCGTCCACTGATCAGGGTGAGTCCCGATCTTAGTCTGGACGGATGAGTTCCGCCCGCAGTCTGACCAGAGTGAGTTCCCTTCGTCCTGTGACCAGAGTGAGGGATTCATTCGTCCTTGTGACAGAGGAGTTCCCTACGTCCTTGACCAGAGTGAGTTTCCCATCGTTCCCCTTGGTGGACCAGAGGTGAGTTCCCTTCGTCCTGTGACCAGAGTGAGTTCCCTTCGTCCTGTGACCAGAGTGAGTTCCCTTCGTCCTGTGACCAGAGTGAGTTCCCTTCGTCCTGTGACCAGAGTGAGCTCCCCTCGTCCTCTGACCAGGTGACTCCCGCTCGTCATCTGACCGGGGTGACTCTCGTTCATCCTCCGACCAGGCGACTCCCGCTCGTCCTCGGACCGGGGTAACTCCCGCTCGTCCTCTGACCGAGGTGACTCCCGCTCTTCTCTGACCGGGGTGACTCCCGCTCTTCTCTGACCAGGGTGACTCCCGCTCGTCCTCTGACCAGGGTGACTCTCGCTCATCTCTGACCGAGGTGACTCCCGCTCGTCTCTGACCGGGTTAACTCCCGCTCGTCTTCGGACCGGGTGAGCTCCGCCGGCCGGGCCGGGTTGATGGATGGGCCGGGCCGGTTTACGGCCGCCGAGCCGCCGGTGCCCATCCATCTGCCGGGCCGCCGCCGGACGATCCGTCAACGTCCGGCCGGGAGTGACAGCTGTCACATGTCACAGCTGTCACATGTCAGCGGCCCTCACGGCGGCGCCGAGCCGCGCCGCGGCCGGCCGGCGCTGGAGCCGGAGTCGGCCGGGGTCAGCCGGTGCTGGAGCCAGGGTCGGCTGGGGTCGGCTGGTGCTGAAGCCGTGGTCGGCCGGCGCCGGAGCCGGGGTCGGCCGGGGTCAGCCGGTGCTGGAGCCGGAGTCGGCCGGGGTCGGTCGGCGCTGGAGCCGGAGTCGGCCGGGGTCGGCCGGTGCTGCAGCCGTGGTCGGCTGGCGCTGGAGCCGGTGTCGACCGGGATCAGCCGGTGCTGGAGCCGGAATCGGCCGGGGTCAGCCGGTATTGGAGCTGTGGTCTGCCGGTGCTGTAACCGGAGCCGGCCGGGGTCAGCCGGTGCTGGAGCCGGGGTCGACCGAGGTCGGTCGGCGCTGGAGCCGGAGCCGGCCGGGGTCAGCCGGTGCTGGAGCCGGGGTCGGCCGGGGTCAGCCGGTGCTGGAGCCGGGGTCGACCGAGGTTGGTCGGCGCTGGAGCCGGAGTCGGCCGAGGTCGGTCGGCGCTGGAGCCGGAGTCGGCCGGGGTCAGCCGGTGCTGGAGCTGGGGTCAACCGAGGTCAGCCGGTGCTAGAGCTGTGGTCGGCCGGCGCTGGAGCCGGGGTCGATCGGGGTCGGTCGGCGCTGGAGCCGGAGTCGGCCGGGGTTGGCCGGTGCTGGAGCCGGGGTCGACCGGGGTCGGTCGGCGTTGGAGCCGGAGTCGGCCGGGGTCGGTCGGCGCTGGAGCCGGAGCCAGCCGGGGTCGGCCGGCGCTGGAGCCGGAGTCGGCCGGGATCGGCCGGTGCCGAGGTCGGCCGGGGTCGGCGGGCACTGGGGCCGGGATCGGCTGGCGCTGGAGTCGGGATCGCCTGGAGTCGGCCAGCGCTGGAGCCGGGGTTGGCCGGCTCTGGCCGGCGCTGGAGCTGCGGAGCAGCCCGCCGCTTCTGCTGTGGTGCTACGATGTCGACTCAGCGGCCGCTCTGTATAACCATGTCATGTAGTGAGGTCAGGATGTGATTGGGCGCAGCGGTGCGTATCAGAGCTCAGACACCACGCCGCGGTGGCGGTGCGGCGCTTCAAACTGTGCGATGCTGTGGTGCACGCGTCCGAGGCGGCGCTGCAGCGGAAGCTGGCCAGGTATGTCAGCCTGACAACGGCCTTTTGTCGACTCGTCGGAGCTGTGACGTATTATGCTGCTGTGCTGACGGGTGCTGTGTTTTGTTGTAGCGGCCCGAGCGGTGGCGCAGTCGGACGTGGCGCTGTATGTCGGTCTGGCGGTGGCCCTGCTCGTCTTCCCGATGATCGCGCTGATCGCCCTGAAGCTGTACCGACGCAAGGGCCGCGGCCAGAGCATGTACGGACTCACCGAGAGAGGTGGGTCATGGTGACACGGACCTGTCGTGTACGACGTCGCAGAGCACGGCAGGTCGCTGGACACGGCTATCGGTCTCACGGGGTGTACGCACAGACTCCCAGTGACAGGATGGTCAGGCGGCATTTGACGCGGTCACGTTGAGTATGTAAAAATAGCGCAGACTGCTAGGCTTTGACCCGAGATGGCTGGAGCCCGCGTGGTTCTAGCAACAAACGGTACAGATATGAGTTGGCGGCAGATAAGTCAACGTGCTGCATTACGTAACACATTATAATTTCCGTTTCTCTCTAAAACGAACGTTTGGGATAAGTGAACCAGTTTCCAAAAGCTGTTTTATGATGTTGCTGGGGTCACATTCATCGGTCTTTTCAAATATTGTTAAAGTAGCTCAAAATTTCAGCTTTTGTTTTTATTTTAAGTTATTCATTCCTACGTTCTTGTTATTGTTCATGATGGTGCTATTCAAATGGTCATATTAAATTTTTGGCCCACTTTATTCAGTTTTTTCAATTCCAAGTTTTTATTTGATTATTTAAAGCTTCCAAGCATTTAAGTATTTAAATCCCTCGAAGCATCAGCCTTTCGGTCAAATTCTCCCAAACATCCAGCATTGCTTCCGTCATGTATACCACCACAGCGGAGGATGTTTCCTGACGCGAGACTATCCGCTGTGATCCGTAGACTACGAGGCTAAGTACTACGACAACAACAAGAAGCAGCTCAGCTACACGCCCGACCTGACGTCAAACGTCACGGGCGTGAGCTCGACGCCGCCCAGCCGGGTCACAGACTACGCCTACAACAGGCTGGGCAGCGGCACCAGCCGGCCCGGTGAGGCTCGACCCAGCGCTCGGCCGCCGCCCGCGCTCGTCAGGGGGCGGCGATGCTTGGGGATCAGATCTTGTTGCATCTGCTAGTGTTAAGCTGGTCAGGAGGGATCCCTTGTACCAGACTGCTATTGTCAGGTTTGGCTATTAGAACAACGGCTTCATTCGCGCTTTTGTGGTTGTTTCATGTGCGGCTGTCAAAAGTTTCAGATCGTTTTATCACGCACAGATCGATATCCGCAAAATAATGGTGCAATCATGGTTTGACATCATTGAGTTATCATAACATTTCCATAAACAGATAAGAGTTGCATTTCGCCAGAAAATAATGCGGCGAATGTGGCTACCTCCCGCTTGCATCGCGGACCAAAGACAAATGTTAGCGGTGGTCTCCTCGTCCCCTCTCCCTTGCCGGCGGCGGCTGTGCGGCCTGGTGCTGGCGGCCCCTGGCAGCGGCACCTAACTGTCGGTGTTGGTGCCGATAGGCCTGCTGGGGGGTCACTCGGAGCACCACTACGACGAGCCGCTGCTGCCGCCGGGCCGGCTGACCGGCGCCCGACACTCGCCGGCCGGCGACGCTCCCTCCACCGGCTCCCGCGGCTCGCAGGCCACCAGCAGCTCGCGCGATAACCCGCACCACAGCGGCTCCTCCTACTGCAGCTCCCGTGAGTGGTCACGCGGAGCAGGCGGTCAGACGGGGGACGCTGCTGCACCCAGCCGCTGGTGCCAGCGGGTTGGCGGCCCAATGATGATTGTCACATCGTCTTCAGTACGTGGTTGACTAGAAATGTGATGCGGGCTGGCAGGATTTATGATATCGTTCTATGGCAACCCTCTTTGTTAAATACGGAAAACGAACGGGTGCTAGAAAGCTGGGTTCGGCAAGTTGACATGAATCAACCTACTTGCTGAGTTTACAAGGATAGCGCACTGAGCGATATAGGGCAACAGTAACAGCAACTCAGCCTTATGTAGATACCATCCCACTGCAACATAATGTTTGTATATCTCACTGGACTTATTGCACTAGCATCGAAATAGTCGGCGGGTAAGGCTTATAGCGCTGACGCATCTCACCCCCCGCCCCTTTCGCGCAGCCACCTCTCGTCCGACGTCTCTGTACGACGCGGAGGCCGCGTCCTGCCGCCAATCGCTGCTCTCCACACCACTGCCATCTAGTGTCAACCCGGACAACCTCGATTTCGGCACAGGTCAGCTATTGCCATCTGTTAGAGACACCAATTAGTCAGATAACAAGACACCAATTAGTCGCATTGGCTCCTCGCAGTTTCAGTAGTTCCGTAGCAAGGCGTGTTAACTTACAGCCAATAATTGACTTAAAGTTAGTTTGGTGATGCTGCTGTCTGCTCAAATAAGTTGCAATTCCAGTTTTTTGCTCGTGAACTCCCAGAGATCCGTCTGTGTCTTAGTAGCTTCATCGTTCCATCGCTTTATAACACAGACACGTTTGCGGAAGTGCGGAGAGTGACTAGCCGACCTGTCATCGCTGTTGTAACCTGGCGATTCCGGCAAGCCATGTCTGAGCCAGTCGCTCGGCCGGTCGTCTGTCTGACCGTCCGCCTGCGCACAGTGACGTCGGCGGGCGCCGTGCTGACGCTGGAGAGCGCCGGCGTCTCGCTGCTGGTGCCGGAGGGCGCCGTGCCGGCCGGCCAGCTCGAGGAGGTCTACCTGGCCGTGATGAGCGACACCCGCGAGAAGCCCCAGCTGGCGGGTAGGTCGCACGAGCGGCCGCCTCTGGACCGACAGGTCTCGAGGGCGGGGCACTTGCCTACGGTCGCGCCGCTGAGCACGGACCTGGAGTGCTCAGAAGCGTGTCTGAATACGGCTGCCGCTGGCAGACACGGGAATGCAGATTGCGTGTTTTGCTTTATTTTAAGCGTCTATGCAGCCATTTTTGTTCCCTTGCACCCCAAAATATCACTTACTGGGGTCCGTTACTGCCCGCAGCTGGTAGCACCGAAAATAATCCTCAGCGCTTTTCAAGTGGCCTTATTCGAACAGGGCAGGGCTTTCGAACTTGTTCTTATTCGTCACAGGGCTCCATTCACTGTTATCTGGGCAGCTGTGACCTGACCTGGTCTGACCTGACCTGGCCTGGCCTGACCTGGCCTGACCTGACCTGACCTGACGTCGTTCGCAGAACACCAGACGCTATTGTCGCCGGTGATTCTGGTCGGCCCGCCCGGCACCCAGTTTCTGAAGCCGGTCGTCGTCAGCTTCCACCACTGCGCCAACCTCAAGTCCACCTGGAACGTGTCGGTGTACGGCTCCGAGAGTCCTCCAGACGAGGTTCCTCAGTGGCAGGTCGGTCGGTCGCCGGCCGTGGGTCAGTGGCCCACCGTAAGCGGCGCCACTCTCGGTCTCAGTCTTCTGTGGTCGTCGCCTGGACGGCACCATCAGCGCATTAAACAAGCGACCCATCGCCTTGACGTGGTAATGCACCGTCACAAGTATGACTTGCAGCTGCCGTAATGACGCATGGATAATGGGCAGAATGTTGCGTGTGAATCTGACAATGCCTGGTCGGCTGCCGCAGCGCATCGTGACCCTGGGTCAGGAAACGATCAACACGCCAATCTATACCCAGCTGGACCAGGGCAAGGTTCACATCCTGACAGACTGGCTACAGGCCTTCGCACTGGTCGGAGAGCCCTGCACTGGTGAGATCCCACGCTTCCACGCTGAGGCACCGGACACAACACTGGTCGGAGAGCCCTGCACTGGTGACGTCATGGCCGCAAGAGATGCTTCCCACAGTGCAGTTGGCCGGTTCTCTTTCCCGAAAATGTGTAGAAAGCTGGCTCACGAACAGAGTTGAAACGCGATGCGCGGCGGCATCTGTGTATGCATCGACTGCAGCCACGATGGTCACTCCCTGCTGCGCTCCCCACCCGCTCTCCCTCACAGCCACGTTCAGAGACAGCGTTGCCGAGGTAACCAGCCGCACGTGGCGCTGCCTCGTCGCCAACCAACAGTGCGTACTTTGCCGCTCCCCCTCCCCGGTGTGGTACGCCGCGGTTCGCTGGTGCCGCGAGTGTGACGCCACGCCCGCCCCACAGCGCCGGCCGTGAAGAACCTGCGTCTGGCTGCGTTTGGGCCGCGGCTGGTGGCCGCCGCCGAGTACTGCGTGCGGCTGTACGTGGTGGAGGACACCAGAGCGGCGCTGGAGGTACGCGCCATCTCACTGGCGGAGCTGACACTCCGTGCCGTCTTAGGCCAGATCCTAGCAGATGTCCTGAAACCGAGAAAGCAGACATTAGAATATAAGAGTAGATGTTAAAATATGGAGAGTAGATGTAAGAATATGAGGGTAGATGTTGGAATATGGGGGAATAGATGTTAGAATATGGGGGTAGATGTTATAAAATGGCGAGTAGATGTAAGAATATGGGGGTGGATGTTAGAATGCGGGGAGTTGATGTTAGAACATGAGGATTGTCTTATTACACTCGCCCGGTGCGAAGCTATGTTAACATCACTGGACGTGTGAAGACAGTCTTGAGGCGGAATGCGCGTTTTCACCTGTCGCAAAGTGTCCGTGCGGAACTTGTGCAGCCGCTAGCGACGCGTGATACGGCGCCAAGCGTCCGTCGGCCTGTCCTGTGGCCGTCAGACAGCGCCAAGCGTCCGTCGGCCTGTCCCCTGACCGTCAGACAACGCTGAGCGTCCGTTGGCCTGTCTTCTGACCGCGCCTCCGTCTGTTCCCAGGGCGTGACACAGTTGGAGCGGCGTTTGGGTGGCCGCCTGCTGGACAAGCCCAAGACCCTGCCGTTCCAGAGCGGCGGCGCCGGCCTCTGCCTGGCGCTGGAGGACCTCAGTCTCGGCTGGAGGTGCAAGCCGCAGGGCGGCTACCAGGTCAGTGCCGGCCAGCCAAAGCACTCGGCGCCGACCACAGACTCGCCTACAGCGACCAAATACGACCAAACGCCGGATCGGGCCGCGAGGACGTGGCTTGGGAACTTCTGGGCCAAGAAAGTCTTTGCCGCGTTCAGTGTTCATATTGGTGGTGATGTTCGCCGGCTTACGAGATGAGGGCGTACTGTCGTAAAGTAAGGATGTCAAGCCTAGGAATCGTTAACCCCCATTCCATGATTATATTTCAATCTTTTGTGCCTTTTTTCGCACCGTTAACACCACAAGTGCACGCGGGATGATATTCTTGTTTCTCAATCTCCGCCCCACTTGCGCGCCTCACGCGGCGCGTCATCTGCGGCAGGAGATCCCGTTCCGTCACGTGTGGGGCAGCACGTGTCCGCTGCTGCACTGCTCGTTCTGTCTGGAGCACGTGGGTCACGCGGCAGCCAGGGACGGCCTGGCGTTCTCCGCCCGGGTGCAAGTGTACCAGCGGGGCAGCCAGACGCGTCGCCAACTCATCCGGGTCTCTTCCTCCGAGAGTCACACACAGGTCAGTGACCTGCGGGCAGGTCAGGGGCGCACGACCAGGTCAGAGCCACACGACCAGTTCAGAGGCACACGGCTAGGTCAGAGGCACACGGCCAGGTCAGAGCAACACACACGTAGAAGGTACACGGCCAGGTCAGAGGCACACGACCAGGTCAGAGGCCCACGACCAAGTCAGAGGCATACGACCAGGTCAGGAGCATATGGCCAGGTCAGAGCAACACACACGTAGAAGGTACACGGCCAGGTCAGAGGCACACGACCAGGTCAGAGCCACACACAGGTCAAAGGTACGAGCGGTACCTACGGCCAGGTCAGAGGCCCACGACCAGGTGAGAGGCACGCGGCCAGGTCAGAGGCACGCGGCCAGGTCAGGAGTATATGGCTAGGTCAGAGGCATACTGTCAGGTAAGGGGGGACAAGGCCAGGTCAGGAAGGCCAAGAGACACAACCAGGTTACGGAGAGCGAGAGACGTAGCCAGGTCAAGGGTGGTGGAGGCACGGCCGCTCTAGAGTAGCTGAGGCTAAAGGTATGCCATTGGCTGTTGAGTGATCCAAAACGTGCTTTATCCCTACAAACAGCAGGCTTCCTGAGTTAGGTCTGGTTGGAAAGTTGCCACCAGGAACGGAACATATTTTGATTTTCCAAATCAACTGGGAAAAGCAAACAAATATTCCACTGTCTGGGCGTCATTTATTTCCGCGTAATTGCCGGTTAGGCAGTGACAGATGTGGGGTTGCTGGCGGGCGTCTCGGGCCGTGCCGTCTGCTCGGCGACGCTGCCGTGCCGCTCTGCAGCCGCCTCACGCGCGCGCCTCCCGCAGCAGGCGCTGAGTCCACCGCCGTGTCGAGCGCCAACTGGCGCCGCGCCCCCGGGCGGCCCGACCACGACCCCGGCCACCTCCGCGGACCGGCCGACCACCAGGTGAGGCACCCGACGGACGTCAGTCACCGGGGCAGGCATGACAGCCGGGCACCCGACAGACGTCAGTCACCGGGACAGGCATGACAGCCGGGCACCCGACGGACGTCAGTCACCGGGCAGGCATGACAGCCGGGCACCCGGCAGACGTCAGTCACCGGGCAGGCATGGCAGCCGGGCACCCGGCAGACGTCAGTCACCGGGACAGGCATGACAGCCAGGCACCCGACAGACATCAGTCACCGGGACAGGCATGACAGCCGGGCACTCGACAGACGTCAGTCACCGGGACAGGCATGGCGGCCGGGCAGGGCTCCCGCCGGCGTGGGGACCAGGACCGACGAACCGGCTGAAATGAGGGAGGCGTGATGTCGTCGTATGCATTAGTAAAGAGTGGTTGTTGATTTTTGTGCAAGATGCGGCCGGGTGTGCCGTCATGCCTCATGGCGACATTTTGATATTGTCACATGTATGGTCCGAAGTGATAGCTGAAACCATACTGTATAATTTGTGTACAAATGTCATCTAGCCATACGGTTTTAGTTGGTGCTATGCGACAGTGTTTCTGTATGTTCGGCATGTGAATAGACACAGCCTTCACTCGCATTGCAGGCTTTCTGCTGAGACCAGACAGAAGCTGTGCCAGTGCTTGAACTCTCCCAACCCTCGCGGGAATGACTGGAGGATGCTGGCCCAAATGATGCAGGTTAACAGGTAAAAACTGGTGTCCCGGATGCCGTAGGGCAGAAAGGAGATGCGCATCATCGTCTTGTGTCCAGATGCTACGGCTCAAGAGGTGCGCTTGGCTATATTTTGTTCATGTAAGCTTCCTACGCATGTCCTAGTGTACTCTTTGGGCTGGAATCCACGCACGTTATTCGACAAGCTAGGTGCGCTGCTTTGCCGTCAGTGGTCGCGGACAGAGCGTCATCATATTCACCTGTCTCCAACCGCAGATACGTCAACTACTTCGCGACGAAGAAGTCCCCGACGGACCCGATCCTGGACCTGTGGGAGGCGAGGCACCCAGAGCAGTCTTCCTGCACCGAACTGCTCAACATCCTCAGGATCATGGGGCGCGAAGATGCCGCCCAGATTGTTGAGGACCAGGTCGGGCCGCGCGTGTGACCTTGATCAGCGACAGCTGATTGGCCAGCCCGGTCGGCTGACCTTGAACTAAGCTCGTCGATTGGTCCGAGGGTGTCGCGCCTCGAGTGCTGAGCGCTGATTGGTCTGTAGTGTCGTATCGCCGTAGCAGCAGGCGGGGATTGGTGCACGTTTAGCGGTCTGAAGTGTGATTGGCCTATTTGATCAGCCGGATTTAATTTATCGCTGTGGGCTTAGCTAGTTGGATCCCGTTGTAATTAAACGTGCATCATTGCCTTATTTGATCACCTCAATTGACGTTCAAAAGCATTGCCGAAAGTGCGCTTGCATCGCACGTTTACTGTGTTTATTGAGTGCTCCACTCTTCACAGTTTGTGCTCACACCATTGTTCTGGTTCACATGACAATTTTCAACCGATCCGTGCCAAATAATTATGGGATCTTCCGGAGACGAATCAAAATAGGCAGGGCTCGACCGCTCGAGGAAATGTGATATTTTGTCATTGCCACCCCGTATTTATGAAGTTCCACGCGCCACTATAAGGCATATTGTTCTGGGTGACATGCTTATAGGTGTCAATGGAAGTGACTGCTGCGATTTTGCTTGCGAACTGGCATGTGCAGTACATCTGCCCAAATCACGACTGCAGACAAAGGTATATATATCTAAGTCTTCCGACGCTGATGCCAAATTTCTCAAAAGTTGGTCAGTAATCAATTGTATAAGTCACGCGACTGTCACCAAAGCTGTACATACGTGCTCCGAAGAACAGAATGCTACAAATTTAGTCCTCCACGTGTATGACATCGTGTGACTGCCTGTACCGTTGGTGACGATGAGACCCAGGACAGCTGAGATTTCAGTGTGACCTCCACTGCAGGCGCTCAGCGTGTGGGCCTGTGTCCACTACTTGTGGTCATGGCAGGGTTATGTGGCCCGACTCATGTCGTCTTGTGTTCGCTTCCTGAGGAACCGTGTCGCTGTGCTTGCTTGGGTGTACTGCTTTTGTTCGTTAGTGAGTGCAACCATTTTTGCAAAGGCTTTATACGTGGGGTAGTTCATTAAGTATTCTGAGCTCAATAACACGGTATCTGCATGCTTCTTGGCATCACGAAAAATACGTTGTGTCACCCAGAAATACCCCGCAAAATCCTGACGACACCGGCACTAACTGTTTCCAGCAAAAGTCTTCACGTAGTCGCCCGTGGACTACGTGAAACATTATTGCAATTTTCAACGCCTTCACCTATCGCTGACGAATTAGTTACGTTGGCTATAACTCCTGAATACGCTGCTAGACGTGACCTTCAAAAAGTGGCGTTCATGTGTCCCGGAACTGAGCTAGGGGCGCGAAGGCACCGGGCGTGTTACTTGTTGCAGTAGAAAGCTAGCGGCGGTGTCCAGCTTTGGGGTTTTTATATTTTTTTCAGAGATTTTAGCCTGATTTGCAGTCACAAATGAGTGTGGAGCTACGCCTTCCAAAACCCTCTTCCTTGTGCCGTTTCGGCTCCGCCCCATCCTCCGTCCATAGCGTAATTTATGGACGGCACACTGAGATGGACTATGGCCTCCCCGTAGGAACGCAGATTCAACTGTTAGGAGCGTCAGTTTCCTCGCTGCATTGTTTGACGTTAGTGTTATGCCTCAGAAGATCTGCCGCACAGCGGGTCTTATAAAACTGGCAAGTGCGATATAGATCAGCGCACATCGACGCTCCGTTGTAAGCCACGTACTTCCTGTTGGTTGGGCGGCCATTTTGAAACGCTGTCCTGGTCAAGCACAGGACGCTGCTGATTGGATAGAAATATACCGCATCTGCGTGCGGCTAGTCACTTGCGTTTAGTGCGTAAAACTGTTTTATACTCTGAACGATCGCTTGTGAAAATAGGTGTTGTATGTATGTACTTATGTCATGTTATAATGCAACCAATACAAACAGTGCTTTGTTTAAAGACAGTTTTAGTGTGCTGCATTGCTGGATGAGCTGCCGGGGTCCAGGTGACCAAAAAACGTGGCGGTGACATTGGGCATGTGAAAATACTTAACAAGACACGAGATATTAGGCCCCATCTGTGTTGACGGAGGAGCGCAGGCGCTGTCCATGGTGATGGCACTGGCGAGGAGCGTTGTCCTGCTCAGTCTTTGGTGGGCATGTCGGGCTGGAGTTGGGCGCCTCGTAAAATACGTGGGATTATCGTAGGCACGCAGCGAGAATTTCGAACACTAAAGAACTATTTTTGTAATATAATGAATTTCCAATATGAAATATTTTTGAGGCATCAAACATATTTTTTCTCTTAAACGGGCAGTCTATTCTAAACAAACTTTTCAAGCTGGCTTTTATAGGAAAGAACCGCAATTTCACTTACAACATTACAAGCAGCTGACGATTATACACGTTCCTGGCGGCCTAAGGACTTGGTAAGACGTGTTTACGTGCGAGGCCGTCGATCGAGTGAGTGTTGGCTGAACAACATGAACAGATGAACCTGAGGGGTTTGGCCCGTCTGCCACGCGTACAGCACTTGGCGGCCATCATGCAGCCGGAGGCACGCAAGACTCGAGAGGATCTGAATGTTAGGACGAAGAGATTTGCATGCATTTTCACACAGGCTGTTTGACCAGACGCCATTTTCCTGTAACACAGCGAATTAAACACTGTCTTCCTCATTCCTTTGCGATATAACAAAACCCGCCAACATAACACACTCCTCAAAGTATAAATGGTCAAAACTTGAAAGTAAACTGAATGGAAGCCTCGAAAATGCTTCAGGGGACAGTAAGATAAGTATTTCTGACGTAAGCTGCTGCTATAATGGACGTTGTTGAAGCTTTCGAAAGTGCTGCATTATTTGTCGAATTCGTTAACATTTTTTTGGAAATGTTTGTCAATTTTTCTCTAGCGAAAATGCTCACGATTTACGCTGAACACGCGATTGGCCTGCACAGCCATCGAACGAGCTCTCGCTCTGGATGCTACCGGCCGGCCGACGTCAAAGCTCAGACCTGGAGCTTTGCTTCCCCGCTTCCTTGGCTTCCTTTGCTTCCTTTGCTTCCTTATACCGTCGGAAGGCTGTAAGTAAAGGGAGCCCGCTATTTCCGTACTAATAGTACTTTGAGCGCTGCAGCGCCTTACTATAAGTTTCTTGTCAGCGCATTCTAGCCATGATTTCTGCAGCAGGTTTAACAATGTGTCTGACCATGGAGAACTACGAAAGACAGCGTGTTGGATGTCTGGGGAGCAGTCTACAATATATTTTTGGACAGAAATAGAGAACAGGAAGCTCAAAATCTGGATGTTTTGACGCGTAACCCCTGAACCAGTAGCCTAGCTGGATAGCGCATTTGGTGAAGCCCATTGCTAGCTTAATTTGAAGCCGTTTTATTCGCAAATTAGCACGACACCAGTGAACCTTGGCACGGTGAACTCCCGGTAAGGACGTACCTTCCCATGCCAAGATCAATAATTTGAACACCATTTGCACGGTTCTCCAAATGCGTGCAGCTCGGCTAGCTCAGGTTTTGGCAATATCTACCTACTGGCCATACGTTATTTGCAAGAGTTACGTATGGCCAATAGGTACATGACAGGAGCCTGGCGGCCGCGGCCGCCAGGCTCTAGCCGCCCGGGCGGGTCCCACCCACCGCCGAGCCGGGCCCGGTCCAGGTCAGCCCGGGTCCGGCCCTGGCTGCTGCGGCAGCCGGCTCCAGCCGCCCGGGCGGGTCCCACCCACCGCCGAGCCGGGCCCGGTCCAGGTCAGCCCGGGTCCGGTTCCGGCTGCTGCGGGCGCCGGCTCCAGCCGCCCGGGCGAATCCCACCCATCGCCGAGCCGGGCCCGGTCCAGGTCAGCCCGGGTCCGGCCCTGACTGCAGCGGCCGCCAGGCTGTAGCCGCCCGGGCGGGCCCCACCCTCCGCCGAGCCGGGCCCGGTTCAGGTCAGTCCGGCTCCGGCGCATCTGACGGTCGCCTCCGCAACCCGCCAGCCGGCGCGGCGCGTTTGCCGGCTCCCTGTTGTTCGCCGGATGTGATGCGGGCAAATGCGATTTCACGCGAGGATAATCTGTTTTACACGGACGTCAGCGGCAAGAACAGAGACGTGGAAACTGGCCACCAATCGGACGTTGAGCTCGAGCGAGCAGTGCTGCGGCGGAGCACGCTTCCGACTCAGGGCATAGCCGGAAATGAAATTGTTGTGGAGTTTTAAAAGTTTAATGCGTCAGCTATCTTGTCAGGCGATGTGTGCTTTTGTTGGGGTGAAAAGCTAGAGCTGGAAATAGCTTCGACTGATGCGTGCAGCATAAGTTTGTCAAGCTGCTGTTTTTCTGATTTCCTTTTATTCTTGACTTCAGCTATCGCACTGACGTTTTTACAAACCAATATTTGATGTATTGCTCGATTTCAGTTTTATTGTGCCGCTGACATCAGGGCTGTGTTTTTGTCGAAATTCATTTGAGATTTCCTTCATTTTAAAAAATAAAACATTTCTCTGGGCGGGAAGCTCAGTTTGCAGCGTGCTCGTGGGAGGCCTAGGTTCCCGGCTGATATCCTGGCCTTTGGAACTGATCCGGGGTCTCTCATTCTACTCTTCTGCACCGGGCGAACACGAAGAATGGAATGGAATGCAATCAGAAATGATGGTCAAACTCCGACGCCATAGCCGATGTTTCTTTGCGCTCTTGGGCAATGTTTGTCAAGACATGTTGACTGCACAGCTCAAGCATACCCAGCGAAACTGAAGCATAGATGCCGTCGGATTACGTGTCAGCTTGCGTCAGGTAGCTGCTGAGAATCGAGCTGCCAGCCCTCCCCTTGACTGTCTCGAAGACACCGCTGAGATCCACAGCCGGCATGTGCCTCCAAGTGCGGTAAAACACGTCTCTCTTGAAGACCGGGCATTAGGAGCAGCTGAGCTGCGGCGCATTACCTGATTCAGCTCAGCTGGGCCCCGCCTGCGAGACCCGGTGTGACAGTTGGCCGAGCCGGCTGACTGTCTGCGGGACCCGGTGTGGCAGCTGGTGGAGCCGGCTGACCGTCTGTGGGACCCAGTGTGACAGCTGGTGGAGCCGGCTGACTGTCTGTGGGACCCGGTGTGACAGTTGGCCGAGCCGGCTGACTGTCTGCGGGACCCGGTGTGACAGCTGGCCGAGCCGGCTGACCGCCTGCGGGACCCGGTGTGACAGCTGGCCGAGCCGGCTGACTGTCTGAGGGACCCGGTGTGACAGCTGGCCGAGCCGGCTGACTGTCTGCGGGACCCGGTGTGACAGCTGGTGGAGCCGGCTGACTGTCTGCGGGACCCGGTGTGATAGCTGGCCGAGCCGGCTGACCGCCTGCGGGACCCGGTGCAACAACTGGTGGAGCCGGCTGGCTGGGGACCCAGTGTGACAGCTGGCTGAGCCGGCTGACTGTCTGCGGGACCCGGTGTGACAGCTGGTGGAGTCGGCTGACTGCACCGCCTCGCAGCCGCGTCCGTGTGCCGCCCAGAGGCTGTCCCATCGGACAGGTGACGTCAGCTGTCGTCTCTTGGGAACGCAGCCAGGATGGTGTGCCCCCCCCCCCCCAGCCCCGGTCAAATGCATGCCCTTCCAGAACTGTTGGTGTTGTGTTAGTGGCCCTTTTGGAACTACGAAGATATGTAAATAACACTACACCCGAGAAAACCCGACAGCATATTGATGTCAGTGCTGAACCAACCACTCCATCCTGACGAAGTTGCACAGATCTTCGATAAGCTGACTCCAGTCCTGGCCTATGCCTCTCCTGACATCGCTCGCAAGTAGCTGTTATAACGTTACTGGCTGATGCCCGACATAAATCGACGGCTTTACGATCATTCTGTGCCATAAGTGGTTTTTCATAACAGATTAATGCAATCACATTATCTTATCAAATATGCATTCCCACCTCTGAAATTCATGGCACACTGTTCTCAAAATACTCAACAAAACGCTAAAACAATGGTAAAAATTGTCTGTTGATGTGACTGAAATCAGACAAGACAACTGCCATCATATCCAATAAAAAAATTCAAATGCTGATTGGTGCAGTGTCGTCTCTTAATATCAATAGGGCGCCGTGCCTACGGTTTCCAAACCGCGGAATCGACAGTGTACTGGTAAGACTCAACGTCTGGGGAAACCAGAGGTACGGGGCTCGATTTCCTGCGATTCTCGAACTTACTGTCTGGGTAAGAGGCCGGCGACACTATATAGCCGCAGTATTTGAGTGCGTGGTAAAACCCCAATGGCACACACTCACGATACCGAAGCATTTCATCTCTTCACTTGAGCTCCTTTCAGCTTTGTTCAAGACTAAACGTACTCCCTAGGCGACGCAGTTAATCCCAGCTAATAATCATGTCGCTTGCCAAAAGATTGTCTTTCTAAGAGGAAGACTTTCCCGGCTCATCTTTTGTGATTCTGCAGTCGTATCCTCATACGTGAGCTCCCCAAGACGCGTGGACCCCTTGCGTCACGGCGTTGCCAGCCCTCAGAGGTCTCTGTGCTGCCCTCGGCGTCAGGGCTGAGCTACCCGAACCTCCTCCCACGGCAGGGCCGGCCTCCGGACGGGCTGCGGGGTGGGATGGAGAGGCGGGGTGAGACCCCTCGGTGCAGAGGCCGCAGTGTCACCCACCGCACTGTGGTCCGCCCGACTGACGTGGTGTAGAGGCCTGTGGTCCGCCCGACTGACGTGCTGTAGAGGCCTGTGGTCCGCCCGACTGACATGCCGCAGAGGCCTGTGGTCCTCCCGACTGACGTGCTGCAGAGGCCTGTGGTCCGCCCGACTGACGTCCTGCAGAGGCCGCAGTGTCACCCGCCGCACTGTGGTCCGCCCGACTGACGTGCTGTAGAGGCCTGTGGTCCTCTCGACTGACGTGCTGTAGAGGCCTGCGGTCCGCCCGACTGACGTGCTGCAGAGATCTGCGGTCCGCCCGACTGACGTGCTGCAGAGATCTGCGG